TGCTAACTGCCTTCGGCACTCTCCGCAATACAGCAAAGTCTTTCCTCAAAAGCCCGGGAAAGAATAATGGAGAACAGTACAGAATAATAGGTAATATGCAAGAATTAACAAATTGTAAGAGTAAATGACGAGGGATCCCAAGAGCATGCAATCTCTTTATGTAGTAGGTCAGACGGAAAACCTTCTTTGATAACAATAAAACGTGGGAAGACCAAGAGGGATCAGAGGAAAAGGTGACACCAAGATAATTGACCTTCGACACTGTGTTTATCAAAGAGTCTCCGATGGTACAAGCATTATGGGATCTCAAAATGGTGTTTAGATTCCGTTCATGTCTCATGCTAAAGTTAACAGCTTGACATTTAGACGGATTAAGTATGAGACAAAAACTCATTCATTTCTATGGGATGTAAAGAGGAAGAGATAGGCATACATCCGCATATTTCATAAAAGTGTTATCTGTGGAAGATGGCAGATCATGAAGAAAAAAAGGGAAAAGAAGAGGTGAAAGGACAGCTCCTTGTGGTACACCTTCATGAGACAGTAGAGACTCTGAACACTTTCCTCCAAGTACAATGTACTGTTCCCTTCCAGAGAGGTAGGAACATAGCCAGTAGGTTATCCAGTATAATCGATTACAAAATTTTTGATTGCAATCTAGGCTGTGATAGATATGGTATTTGTGCGAACTAATGATTCTTTTCTACTTGATTGTCCACTGATTACGAATTCCAAACACTGTACGTTCATTTGTGTTCTTCTACTTCTACCTGCTTTAAATTGCACTGTTTCTGGAATTACTAGTTAGCGAATTAATTCGAATACCTTCAATCATCATATCTACTCACATCAGAGTTAAAAATTAAACCATTGTTACTTGCTCAACTTTGAAGCCGAGTTAAATTATTGTGAAGCGAGAACCTATCTTTCAGGTTGCAAACGTCTCTCTAAAGCGTACAGTACGAATTCGGCAGTTCTCAGAATTACTATTTAGCATACTGAACTCGACTATTTCTGGTCATTAGTCTATAATTTTTGCAAAGGAAAAAGCGCTGAAAATCACTCCACAACATTTTATTGGACAGTATTTTCATTCATTCGTTTCTTCCCCGTCTTGTGCTTTAACCTCTATTCACGTCTCTTATAATCGGACTTTATGCTCTCCAGTCTTCCTCGTCTGAGATTTTGTTATGTGGCCTTGCTTAGAGAAATACATTTTGCTACTTAATTTACCGTTGCATGTTCCTGGACTATTGACGATAATGTTGTGTTTGACTAAGCTCAAGGTCGCGGTATGGTTCAGTGAATGACTGTTAACCTTTGACTGTCTGCTTGGAAAGGTTGCTGAAATCCCTGTTGATAGATATTTGGCCGCATCTTCTTGGGAATATTTTTATTGACTTCCATGTATCAAACCCTTGTTTAGTAACTATTATTTTTGTTGTTTAGCACGTTAGTTTGTGTCAGAGAAACCCTTGACTGTATTATACAGGCTGTACTGTTTGAGATACTTTGTGCTTTTGATATAATTTATTCTCTTTCATAAATTAGGACTGTTTAACTTGAACACAGAGTTTAAGTTTTGATTAATTAAATACAAGTCACTCAAAAACGCTTCGTACCCTATACAGAAGAACGTAGTCCGGTCTAATGGAATAAATTTTGGTTTGTTAGCTCTGCGTTCAAATCGAATATTGGTATTTTAGTCATTACAATGATCATTGTAATTGATAATAGACAGGATGATTTGCTTATTTTGTCATGGTAGATCATAAACGCTATCAAAATGATAAAAAAACAGCTCGTGTTTTAACGAATCAGCTATCCCATCACATCAATCAATCCTTAACCTATCAAAAATAACTAGACAACTGACCTACAAGCCGTTTGAGTGGATTGCAGTATTCTGCATATGCACACAGTCCCAGTTAATTTAAAAGGTGCAGCTATGGATACAGTTAACCGGATTAGTAAAATCCTCGGCTGATAAAGAAAATAATTTTCTATTTGCTACTAATTCAGAAGGTTATTTGACTGCTTCTGTAACCAGCTAAACGACCTCACTTAAAAGTGCCGAGTTCTCTGGAATGATCAAGCCCAAAAAGTTACTGTTTCCTAGATGTATAAATACCAAGAATAGTTAAAAGTATATCGAAGTTAGAAGACTTCCAATTCTTTTGAGTCATGAAAATGAAACTGGACGAGCTTGACTCAGTTGACGTGACGAAGAGTTTTACATGCAGTCTTCAAAGACCATATTTATCTCATCCTCTGAACCAAAGAACTTCTGATTACTAGTGAATTTTTCTGAAGTCACTATGTTTTCAATGAAAAGATATACTTCAACGACTCGCGATTATTTACAATTGATAGGTCTGATTATGGAATTGTTCTATGCATACTTTTGTGAATTAAAGCTGATAAATTTCCAGCCAATCATTAATGATTTAAAATATGTCTCCTCCTTCAAGTCCGGACTAATAAGGGGGCGATCTAAAGGGTGACTATCAAAAGGGCACGGTCATAAGTGGCACGCATTAATTAGGGTGGCCATCGAAAAAGCGCATATTATTAAAGGCGAGCATTGAACTGACGAATAACATTTTTAATGGCGTGAAATAAGCTCCATTTACCCTTTGTTGTGAAAGACCTTAAAACGGATATTTGACGAAGGGGGTGGCATAAATCTTCCGCCAACTTATTGCCCCTGCCCATTCAAGCATATGTAAATTAAATAACGCTCTGGAAAAGGAACGGAGCCCAAATAAACTGGATAATTTGCCAAACGAATCCATTAACAGTCCTAAAAATTAAGAATATTAAGATGAAGTATCAACGACCGATTGACTGTGTGTGAAAAATTATGTCTTAGAATCATGATATGATGACAGCTTGACGCAATGTTTCCGTACATACATAACTCAGGTTTGAAATAATGAAGTGCTACCGCCTTTCCAGCGAAACCGCCTATAAAATATTGTTATGATGTGGTTGAGGTTTGTGAATTAAGCTAATTTGTAAAACTGTTTAAACATTTTTGCCTGTCAAGCGTAAACCCAAATATAGTTGTAACTAGATTAAATGATAATCTGACCTATTTAAATGCTTAGTAATATTGATTGCATCAAGTTCCACCTGTTTATTTGAGTGATATTGAACAAAATCTAGTCGTTTGAATCTTATTATCATGGAAGTGAATGATCTACAAAACAAAAGTTCATTAAGTTCTGATGGAAAACACAAAGTAAAGTGTTTTTGGCAATATATGAGATGATGAATATTATGCATGACTTTTCTTAAATTTGAAAGTAAGGCATGCTTTTAGCGCCTATAACTCAACGTTAAATTCATCGAATATTTTTAAAACATCCCTCTAAATTAATTATCCAATAGTTTTATGAAATAGACATATTAGATAAAATGAATTGGGTAATAAGAGTAATAGATTATGGTATTTTTGAAAGCAACTCCGCTTGGAGTCCCTCTGGGGGCTAGTGCCGGTCCCAGGCCCGGGTAAAGGAGGAGGGTTGGGCATGGGGGTTAGTGACCCCGTCCCGTAGAAAACTAACCCGCCAAAAAAAGGCTAGTCAGAAAAAATTGCTCAATTTTTGAAAGCAGACTCTATTAGATGTTTAGAAAACCAAGTTTTTGATGATTCCTAGAGGTAAGGAGATAAAAAGTAAATCAGACAGATCTCGTACACTTAGAGATTTTAGTTTCTCTTCCGATACCTTTGTTTATTTATATGTTAATGTGAACCATAGTAACCATTTAGTGTTCTATCTTTACAACGGATACATTTTCTGAATAGATTTTAAAACATTCGCATGCAAACGAAAGCGGATACACCAATCCAGCAACACTATGGATAGCATCATATAAGTTAGAAAACGAAACATCACCTGATCTTGATTCAGTTAGTTTTTGGGATTAACAGTGTCTAGATAAACACATATGAAACTGACTTTAATGAATTCACAGACAGAATGTGAACTATTGTTCTAGTCAATTATACTTGGTTAAACCAAGAAAGTTAATTTGATCTTTCTTATGTCTACAGACTGAGAACTATTTGAAAAAATGTGCTGGTCATTTATCATTTCAAAGTCGTCTTAAAATAGACCTGCTAATTAACCAAATACATAAGAGAAGTATTACACAAGTACTTGTCGCGTGAATAGCAAATAGAAAATAATTATAGCTTGTCACCTTTCAATTATTAACCGTATTAATAAAAACAATTAGATAGGATTAACAATCTGCTATGTTTGAAGCGATTACGAACTCACCTAATTTGAGAACGGAATGAAGATTATGCGACACAATGACAGAAAGCTAGCTATTCTGACGCGTCCCAACCCGCTAACTACAGAGAGTAGTTCAAGCCCAGAAATGGGAAATATATTTCGGAAGCACGAGCAGTAACAACAGGCACAAACGTACAGCATAAAATTGTCCCTGGGAAGCGTTACACAATAGCATACTAAAAGAGACAACGAATCAATAGCACTTAAGACTCTCCCAAGTGGGAAATACGACATGAAGGTGAAGACGAGCGTTCTTGGCGCGAAAACAAGAATTTTAAACTTTTAAAATAAAATTACGAAAATAAAGTATTTACCCAGTGAGTTGTGGGGATCTAACATTGTGAGGACTGTCCACGGGTGAATTCGAGGAAGCTCAAAAAGAGCGGAAGATATTCCATCCAATCCTCTTTTGGAAGAATATTCCCGAATCCCTATATGTAGCCTCCCTATTCGACAAACGTTAATAACCATCTGTGTATGGATTAGATAACTATAATGATGATTTCGTTTTTACTAACAACTACAAATACCTGACAGCTGTGTACCATAATTGACACTGTTTTGGAATAAAATTCCTTTCACTTGTCTTCCGCCTTCTCATTTGCGATATGGGAGGGTTCTAGTGTTTGTTGCTCAAGTCATACGCGGTATATTAACAACTCAAGCTTCTAGATATAATAACTGGCGACGGGGATGGGATTCGAACACATGCGAGGAAACCCCAATGGATTAGCAATCCATCCCAACAAAATTTGAAAAACGAATCGCTTTGCTTTGTATTTTGAACAGGAAGTACATAAATTACATGCTAAAATAATTAAAAAAAAACTTTCGTTGGTTAATTTGCCAACAATTCAAAGATATTCACTGCCCTACTATACTACTAGAACAATATAGAAATTTACAAAACAATCACAGAAATATGAAGTATTTTCTTAATTATTTTCTTTGCTAACCATTATTGACATTACATAAACAGGTACCATAAATGATAGTATCTCATGTAATCAATATTTAACTATACGAAGGCATTTACAAAGAAAAGAATTTAGTGAACATAAAACTATGAATAATACAATAGTGATAAACCTTTTGATTAAGAAAATATTTACAAACTAAGTGATTATAATAATTATAATAGATTAATGTAGAGTTAGTTATGAAGAATAACAGTTTCTAACATACTATATAGGATAATGATGATAATAATGATTAAACAATCAACATAAATTTCAAATATGAAAGTGATATGAATCCATAACTTTCGAATAAGGTGTTGTTCATAGTTATTCATGCAATAATATGTACAGAAAGAAAGTAGTAGTAGTAGTAGTAGTAGTAAGAAGAAGAAGAAGTAACAATTCAAGTCAAGATACTGATGATACATTATTATTAGGTGTCACTTGTTCATTAGTTTCACAGGTATTATCTAATAACATTGAGTTTGATAAGGTGAGTGAGTGAGAACTTTCAACAGTATTAGGAATTGCAGAGTTAGCATTAATATCTACATGATTATCAGCATATATTTCTCCATACGAGTTTTGTACCACAGGGTCAGTTAGTGAATCTGTTGTTTCAGAACAATGTGATGATATTGGGTTACAATGACTGACAACAATCTGATTTTCTAGATGTGAGACATTAACAGGTAATTCTTTATGTGTAATAAGATGTGAGTCCAAAAACAAACTGTGTGTTGACATTGTAGTTGAACAATCAGCACTTGAAGATAGATTTCCAAAACCGTCTTCCAATCCATCCATAGTTCCTTTACTTTGTACATTTATGCGATCATGTGAAGTATTAAGTGAAAATGAAGAACCACTGAGTGCAGTTTTTAAAAGTGAATTTGAACTGTCGGTTGAGATTTCTGATGTCTGCTCACTATTTATATGATCAACGGAATCCAATTCATGTTCATTTAGACTGAGAGTATTAGAAGGGACTACGTAATCCGTAGATTTTACAGATGAAGAAGCACATTCATCAGTGATGATTATTTCATCTTCTGGAAGTTTAGTAGCAATTAATGGGAGTTGTTCTGACTGCTGAGTATCATACTGTGGCAAAATAACACCACCATTAGGAGTTTGGATTGCAATGGGTGATGGGACCGATTCACAAATTATAACATCATCGATTTCATTATCTACTCCTCCAGTTGAAGAGTTTTGCTGTGGAATATTTGCGACATTTAAAGTAGAATCAGAAACTAACTGAGAATTTGACATATCATTATTACAGAATGATACACTACAAGAATTTATTGATATTGGTATGTCTAAGGAACCTGATAAAGATGAAGTAGTGACTGAGTTTAAATTGTCTTTTTTAACGTACGGTATGTTTGCATCAGGAACACAAGGCACAGATTCATTGCTAGTAGATAATACTGAATTATTTGTATGATTGGTGCATGAAATAACTGTGTCACACTGATTGAGAAGATCAACTAAACAAGGTCCAAGTTGTTCTACATCACTTTGATCAACTTTCGGAGTGGGAGGATCAATCTAGAAGGTAAAGTAGGGGAAAATGTATCTAAGTATCAAACAAATATGCGAACTTCATACAACTTTCTCCTTAGTTATAAACTTGAATAAAGTAAAAACAACTAACGTATCTGTATGGTATGAATTCGCTTAATTCCATAAATTCTTTTCGACTGATTAAAGCCTAAAAATAATAGTATGAATGATTTAGAAACAAAACGCCTTACATATTTTATATACCAGTATCATGAGACTCCTCATTAATGAAGATTAGTAAACGTGAGTTGGTGGAGAAGATTTGTAGATCAGGTGGATGATTTTGATGAGGTTTTGTTCTCTGAGCTGGATGGTTTGGTCGTGGAGCTTTCATCGTTCTTCTGGACGACATCATCAGCACAAAATTCAGATAGAAGTCTGAAGTTTGTGCTGATGATGTCGTTCAGAAGAACGATGAAAGCTCCACGACCAAACCATCCAGCTCAAAGAACAAAACCCCATCAAAGTACACATGAGTAATAATTGTAGAAGAACCATAAGAAATGTTTATACAGTCGAATGTTAAATAATATAAATATTCTAGAAGAAATTCTGAAAGAGCATAGAAGTAGGTTATCACGAAATTAATCTTAAAAGTCACATATTAATGACTATAAAAAAAGGATTGGTTAAAAGAGAAAAGTGAGTCAAGAAGTTATGGTAAAAGGCAAGGAGGAAGAAAAGGGATTTACGATTGAGACCATTTGGAATAGGTGAGGCGGATTAACTAGCAAGATCACATCAATCTTATGTAAATCGAAAGATGAAATCACGGAAGAAAAGTCAAACATCATTTACAAAATAAAACGTTCCGACTGCAAGAAACATTACATTGGACAAACTTGACACCCTTTTCGTTTTTGTCTGCATGAACAACAACTGGTTGTCAAACATAGTGGCGTATTTACGTGGCCACATGTTTAACCGGGAAAGTGTTGGGATTTCGGACAGAGACAAAACTAAGAGGACCATAAAACTTTTAGGAACTTGACACTCAAGTTAATCAACAATCAATAAGCACATCGAAGTTGATCCAATTTACCTACCAATTATAAGAATCATGGACAAATATAGAATTGAGAACCAGATGGAAAAGGGAGACAATCAAAATAAATATGCAGACAACAACAGATTAAAGGTTAGCAATAACTAACACGACAAACGGCCAGTCATATGTCCACATCTATCTACAGTTTGTGCTGACCATGTTGTTCAGAAGACTAGTGAAAGTTCCACGATTAAACTATCTAGCTCAGAGAATGAAACTTCACCGAAATCATCTACCTGAGCTACAAATATTGTGCAGTCTTATTGGGTATATGCGATAAATTGTAACTCGACGAATAATTGTGCAATAAGAAGAAAAAGATTATCAGAACTATGTTATGATAGTCTTCTTCCTCTTGTTACATTATTGAAATTTATCAAAGGGATTAATTACTTTGAACAATTGTGCGTCTGTTGGAACCCTATTAGTTGTCATGCGAAAATTGACTACATAATATTCATAAATCACCAAATAGCTATTGAGGTAAGAAATCTGTAAAATATCAAAAATATATGATTAATGCACAGATAGTTGTTTGTTGGCCTATAATTTATTACACATGTATGCAATTGTACAGCTTTGAAAGTGAACTTGTTGGAAAAGATTTCTTCACTAAACGAATAGCTCTGCTAATAATTCAGAATGATTTTAAAATGTCTTATGAACAGTATTATTCCTAGGTCGTAAGTAGGTAAAAAAATCTGAGAAATAAATGATTTTATATTATTCTACCACGATCATTATTATTGATTCATTTAGAAATATTTCAACAATACCGTTATATCCACTACGTCAGTCCAATTCTGAAGTAGATCCGACTTGTCCTTATCAACGGTTGGTTTCACTGTATGCGCAGGCTGAGATGATAAAGTATAACATGCTTGGGAATGTAAACCATCTGTTGCAGCATCCAGTCGTTTAGCGGCCCAACGACGAGCCCATCGACCCATTGGCTGGACAAATTTAAGTAAGGAAATCGCATATTCAATTACACTAGGATCTCCACCATAAACGTCACTGAGTTGTGTTAACTGTGCTGCCCTGTAATGAAAAAATATGAAAAAGAGTAGTGAAAAGCTAACGAATAATGTTGTGTTTGAAAAATCGTCTAGTATGCATAAATAGTAAACCCACTATGATACATCGATAAAGTGTTTCATTTAGGAAAGAGGGAGAAAATAGAAGACAACTCTTTCAAATTAAAAATTACAAGTTTAGGTTTCAAATATACTTCCTTGCTATCAAATAGGTTTTTGTTAAGTGAAAGGTTGTATTCGTTAAAATGAATGGATAGAATGTAAATCGGTTGACTAGATACAACGATACAAGGTGACTGAATGATGTCTGTTCATGAAACTGAACTATTTACACAAGTACCTACTTGAACTAATATTAGAAAGACTAATATATGAACGAAGAATATTCTTTTTGATAAACTATCTTCAGGTTCTACAATTATATATCCGAATTAATAATCCGAAAGATGGCCAAGTTTACGGCAAAATGACTTATAGCATGTGAATTCAAGTTTGTTAAACAAAGTAAAATTGTTAATGTTGAGACGACTGATATGGAAAGCTAACTTGAATCAGCTTATATGTGAAGTGAAACTTTAAAATTAATGATCAGAATAAATATGGGTGTCTTCTACGCACCTACTGGTGATATAGAGAGGCTAAAAGAAGAATTACCTAAAATGACCACCTCGTTTTGTATTTATCAGTTCAACTGCTCTTGTGGAGTAAGTTATATTAACCAAAGTTATATGAATTCATGTTCTTACGCTTGCTAACACCTCTCATAATGGCTGAGCAAAGATCTAGTGAAGAAAGTGAACGACTCGATATTGGCCCATTTATTGATACTGGTTATAGTGCCAGTATAAGCCAACCTTTTTCACTTCTTTATCGAATCAGTGATTTTCTGCCAAAGCCTATCAAACTCAAAGTCCGGAAGCACTGAACGAAAGTTTCGTACAAACATGGGACTACTTAGCAGCGGGCATCCACAACCCCACGCGCAGGATTCGAACCCAGGAACTATGGTCACACGTGCGAATACATAACCTCCAAGACCAATAGTCCGGCAACCAACAGCGTTAATGTCTAACTTCAACCAATCCATGTGATTTGAAAAGAGATGGGTTTCACTTCCTAAGTAATATATATGAGCACATATGTGTTGATTCGGTCTAGTCACTAAACTTCCCTCTTTATTTGCAGTCTTTTCATTAAATTATCTGATTTGGCTCTTTTATGGGAAGACTATGTATCAGTGTCAACTCTCAGACACTGTGCATTGCAACAGTATGACGGTCTAACTGTGAATATCTCGCGAAGTAACGTTTATAACTTAAGAAACTAGGAGGTTAGCTAATGAAGTCAGTTGCTAGTATTACTTTGGAAGGAGGGCACCTATGCAATGTTCCTTGGTTATCTAGAGGAGAAAGGGGGTTCAAAACGAAATAAAAATACTGTGGTATAGGAACAAATCCTTTCAGATATAATTAATAATGTAGATAAAGTGATAGTTTAGATTCAATCACTAACCCTACTTAGTGAATGCTATCCGGTAGTTTCAAATTAGGAAGAAGTTTATTTGATATGGAAAGGCAACAGATTTGGAACAATATAATCACATGTTAACACATTTTAGTACATTGGTGTATGATCAGAGAGTTCGAAATGTATTCAGTCAGTCATCTAAAACGTAGGACCAGTCACATATATACATCGGTCCAAGTTGTCATACCCCGTTAGCACAAAAAAATAAACACCAAATTCGTGGAAGCAGTTAATTCAATGGTAGTAATATATAAAAGGAAGATTTCATATAAGGATATGATAAAGGGAGAAAGAATTAGTTCGTAGGAAGAAAGGTATAATTTTAATCTCACGGTTTAAGGGCAGACAAAAAGTGTATACAACTACGCCATTGTGATCGATTCTGAGTCATTTCACTAATTAGATCAAACATTCCAGATAAATTTCGTCTACTCAGTGGAATTTCAACATTCGGAATTGCCCTAATTTCAAGAAACAATGTAATACTGTCTTATTATTTTCTTCTCTGTGAGTATCCGATCTTTCGTTTGTTATTCCATACATGAAACTTCAAATATTAAATTAGGATAATTTATGTATGTCCACCAGCAGGATTTAATTTTATTAGACGAAATGAGAACAAACCTGGTCTCATCCGACATAAAAATGAATAAATACTGTGGTATGGACAGATATAAGTAGTATGTAGCAGGAATAGGAAGTAGAATGTTTACCAGCAAAAGATTGAAACGAAGAGAACAGGAAGGAAAACGGAGAGCAATCGGAATAACAACAGAATTAGAAGAATGATGAAGTATGTAAAGGACAACTGAAGGAAGATGTGCAAATGATGTATTTAATGTATGATTTTCATATTTCACAAATTCACTGTGTGGTTTTGCGTAAAACAGTAAATCGGTTTACCGTACCTGAATTTTCGTTCACTACAATACTTATATAAAAGAATGTGAAAATAATAATACACAACGATTGCATTAACCACCTTGTAAAATTGTACAGCCACTTAAATTAGAAAAATCTTTCCCATGTATCACATAAAAGTGGATTAGTGCTTCTTTGGTTAAGGTACTTGACAATTTGTCATTTGATTTTGAGTCGGAACTTTGATCGATCTACTTCGGTTTCAGGCAATTTAATAGTAGAAGGATAATATCACTAGCATTCATGACTAAAAACTGCGTACATAAACTGGATTACTGAATTATATGGTAAGATTATTATAGGAAAATAGAAATTTCCATAAGCATCACATAAAATAAAGTTGACTTACGAAAATATAGCCAATGGTCCATGAATAGCACCAGCTATCGGTTCATCAATATTGTATTTTAATTTGTTTAAATCATCTAAAATTTTATTTTGTTTACCTGAATAAAGCCAAAAAACATCAGCTGGATATTTAAGAGAAAATGAAAAAAATTTAAAAACAAAAGAAAATATGGAAAGGCAGTGTTGCCAGGATAAATTCTTGACATTTGAATGCTTAGGTCAAGACTGAATAGGAGTACGCTGATTAGTCCATTTTTCAACCAATCAGCTCTAGGGGACAAACCGAGATGCTAGAAAATTCTATATAAACTGTAACGTTTCTATTACTGGATCTTTATTATTCAAGATTTTGGGAACATAGATTGTTCCCTTTCAACTGTTGCTCTAATTCAAGAATACTCGAATGAAGTATCGTAATCAAATAATATTATGCTGTACAGAAATACAATAAGTACAAAAATATAGACGGTCATTTAAAATGTATAAAACTAACTCGGTAAATGATCATCCATTTTTTGAGTATTTAATAATTTGGATTTTGTTAACAAATCTATCAAAAATTGAGGATAAGATACATTATAATAAGGTTTCGGTTTTAAAGATTCTTCATTTTCGCTAACGTTTTCATTGTTATAGTCTGAAGGATTTGGATGTTGTTGATTTATGAAGGAACGTGCTTTGGGACATTCAACTGCAGAGATTTCACCTTGGTTTGAGCACTAAATAACAAAAATGATGCAAGAAGGAGAAATGAGTCATTTTCCTCAATAAATACTGGATTCATATAGTGGAAATAAAAGAGAAACCTGCTTTCCACCTTCGAGAAAGCATAGCTGATTTTTATGCATAACAGATTTAGGGATAATACAGAACTTTTGCTACTGTCAGACGTCTTTTAAAACGGTGATAAGCCATATCAGATGTATAGAGTATAAGAGATGGAAAAACTCAAAGGAATTGATTGAATATTGTATATGTAAATACTTGTAACATAAATATGTACTATGTAGTTTGAATTTCATATGTTTTAGTAAACATAATAAAAAAACATCTCCAAATGCCCTGATACGACCGAGGGTGGGGAGAGTCAACTCTCTCGAAATGCTCTCATATGGCCACGAGTATACAGCCACTACCAGGAAAGTCCTACTCACTACCTTCTCGCGGCATTACTGTTGTTTACGAAATTGAGAGGACAAAAAGCGATTATCCAGTGATCTAACCGGGTTGATGGATATGGAAGATTCACATAGGGAAGTTGGAAAACCATGATTCTAAACCGATGGTGCATATGCGCTCCAGGATCTTGAGGGAACAAAAAAGTGTGTGGACCTAATGTTGGTCACCGGCTACCATGGGACTGAATCTCCTAAAGTTGCTCCACTGCCTTGCGGATTAGACCTTCAGGTCAAAGGCTCCGGGTGTGGTCTCCTAATAAAACCACTTGCTTCGGTTTGGGCACCCGGGCAGTATCTCAGCCCTCATACAAGTCGAATGACAAAGTGTGGCGCACATGTATACGGTGCCCTCTTGTACCAATGATTGTGTCTAAATAAATAAACGAACCCAAAAGTCATTGTTATATATATATATATATTTGAAGTGGAAACATGTTAGTAGATAAACTTTGAAAGTTGTAATGGATGAAGTATGAGCCTTTCGTGAAAAACCAGGGCCTAACTTCGACGTGTTGTGCTGATTGAAGTAGGGAAAAATGTGTGGAGTGAACATAATACGATAAGGTACTTGTTCTTGTAGTTTCGAGCTGTTTGTATATGCGAAGTAGACTGCTGTTTTCAACCAATTAATAGTGGAAAGATGACAGGAATGTTACTAGTGAACGTTGCGATACATACTGTTTCCAATTTAAAATAAGATTCAGATTGGATGTCTAAGTCAGTTAGTCATGATTAAAATAGCCTACGTTCCCACTCTACATAGACAAAAAGAAATGAAATTAAAAAGATAAATTCCAAAGAAATCAATATGACAACAGCATTCATGATAGGCATTGAGATTAAATATTTTAGAATATATATTTTATTTTATTTGTACAAGTTAATATCTTCTAGTTGTTGATGTCAAGATGCAACTCGGCCTTGCTTGAAATAATTAAAACCCATTGGGCGTAGTCTGGATTGAAAAAGTTACGTCAAGTATATATTATTTTTTATTTCTCCATGTCATTAACTTTTAATATATACTGACTTGCTCTAAATGTTATGCTTCCTTAAAGTCTCCCATGATCTTCTCTAAAACTGTTAGGAAGATTTCAGCTCCTTGCATGACTTCATTGTTAAAACTGTGCATTTCTGTGAGGTAGTTAAACTACTTGGCTTTCGCCCAAATTTCTCAATGCAACTTAATTACGAAGTGCATTTTCAGGTTCTTGGCTTCGAGCTACACTGATTGTATGACATCTATTAATGCTAACTTTCTGCTCAGACGGACGTAGGTGCGGTAAAGTTCAAAATGAAGACCTGTTGGTTGAAAGTCTAATATTTTGAGCATTGAAGATACCGATTAGCCCTTGACAGCAAAATCCATGGTTCGAACACCGGCCAATTTATATTTTACGATATACTTTCTGATTCAGGTAAAAATATACGTTTCCTACTGGTCATCCAACTAGTTACATAAAGCAAGATTAAGAATAAATAAGTTGTATTGCTAAAAGCTGAATAAATATGTACACAAGTCACAGGTGCATAAGTTTTATACTAAACTGATTGAGACTGGGAAATGTGGGTAATGACCTCAAATAGGTGAATAATCTACTTAGTCACAACAGCCCTTCCAGATTTGCAACTCTCACCTATCACATGGCCTTCAAAGACAGTATGTGACTAGTACATGTTTGCTCAGTAAATTGTTGCTTCATTTTGAGCAGCCATTACACAGGCAGTGTGGCTGGAAGAACAATAAATTAACCTGCACTTGGTAAATGAGTTGTATTTAAATTATTTCGCTCTAAAGACAATCCAATAACCAAGTAATGAATAATGTTTACCCTCAATTTAAATCAGAAGCCGTAAATGAAAATCTTACATTTAAACACACAATTTTCGGTCCAATGTATTCATTGTTGTTTTCAACACTTGCAATAAATTCATATTTTCTCTTTAATTTTGCAGCAGACTCTTCAGCAGCTTTTTTAGCTTGAATGAGAATTTCATTCGGAATATTATCAACTACTTGATGATATGATCTTTCCACATTCTCATCACAACTATCGTTGTAAACACTGTCTTCATCATTTATGCTACTTGTTTTATCAGGATAATGAAACATCTCTTTATTTCGATCCATTTTAAATTGAGATGATTTATTTGATTGGACGTCTGAAGGTGGTTTCTTGGATTTTTTCGAAACTAATGAAGTTTTACCAATGAATGTTTTACAAGAAGATCCAGATAATGGAGATGAAGATGGAGTAGATGGTGCAAGATTTAATAAAACAATGGGTTCATTGTTTAAAAATTCTTGAGTATATTGAGAATTTGATTCAATTTTCATTACAGATTCAGTAAGAGGATTTTCATATTCTGATTGAGTTGATCCCAAAGATAAATTTGAATGACCAGTTATAGAATTTTCAAAACTATTATTTACACACATAGAGCGAGAATAATGATCATGTGATAGTGTGGATGAATTTTCAGAATGCTTTTTCTCATCTATGGGTATACAATTTGAAGAAATCAATGAAGAGTCTTGAAGTTGTGTAGAGATGTTTAAAGTTGAACTTCCTGAAGACGTTTGAATATCATCGATTTTAATTTTTCTTGGTCTACCTCGACCACGTCTATGTGGAACAGATAAGATAGGAGTATTGACGGACGATCTAATAGATGTGTTGTCTTGATGAGTTAGTTGAACTTCTTTTGAACTTGTAACGCTGGCTTAAAGAGGAAACAAAGATGAGTTAAAAATGAAATAACCGTTAGGAGTATGATCATCTTAAGAATAAAGACTTGATACACTGAGACAATCAAACAGGTGAAATGATAATTGATAGACACTGGCAAACATACGATATTGATGAAAAATTGGAGTAATCTTCTGAGGAAATAGACATATATCTATATTTATGAATGGAATTTCGGTTATCTTTTCGATTCGCTTTAGCCAACTAAAGCTTCCTGATCGCTCATGGTTTTTTCATTCAAACTTGCATGCCAGCAGTGGACTCTGACGACTGCATAATACATGATAAGATTGTATAACATTCTCAATTTTTCATAAGTTAGTTCGAAATCATAAACATAAAAATAAAAAAAACGATGCAGCCGTAACACCTCAATTAATTTAGGTTGAGACAGGTGTAGAATGTGGCGACTTAGTTTTATACAAACTGAAACTACTTTATTTTTTTGATTGAGATCATGAACTGATTGATGTTAGACCACCATGGAAAACCTTGAGGCACTGGATGGCCGTTTCGTCTTATTGTGGGACTCCTCAGAAGTGCGCACCTACGATCTTACCTCGCAAGATTCTAGCCCAGCACCTATTGGTCTGGCGCGCGAACCCTTAACATCTGAACCACTGAGCCGGCATCCAACGGTGTTAATGTCTAATCCCAACCAATACACGAAATTGCGCGACTATCTTCGATTGTATTGAGGTAAATACCTGTCTCTACCTGACACGGATTAGCTCCACTGCTCACAGCTTCTCACTAGAACTCCGAGAATCGCCTCACGAAGCCAGTCACTAGTGAGCATACGGTAATTATCAGTGTAGAGTTGTAGAGATTATCAAGTTTTTGATTGAGATCATGGTTGGATTGGTTGAGGTTATATATTAACACCGTTGGATGCCGGCTCAGTGGTTCAGATGTTAAGGGTTCGCGCGCCAGACCAATAGGTGCTGGGCTAGAATCTTGCGAGGTAAGATCGTAGGTGCGCACTTCTGAGGAGTCACACAACAAGACAAAACGGCCGTCCAGTGCCATGGTGGTCTAACATCAATCAGTTCATGATCTCAATCAAGAACTTAATAATCTCCACAACCCTATACTGATTTAGTAAAAATTCAATTGAGGTGCTGATGGTAAAAAGATAAGTCCAAAAAATCTCAAACAAGTGTTGTTCCACATACTCATCGATCAGTTAATTCATATATTACAATAATAATGCTCAATTATGAATAGTGTCGCATTGATTAATGTGTCAGTTCATGCAAATCAATGTTCAAATAAAGATAAAGGGAGAATGCAGCATGATAATCTCTTAATTCTATTCTAATAATGATTACCACCATAAGTAATTAGTTTAAGTCCCGTTCATCTTTTTCTAAACGCAGCAAATGGGAAGGGTCAAGTAAAAAGTTGCATCAAATTGTGAAATCATTGGGACTTAAACTAGGACAAAATGCGTTGGCAGTGCTTTTTGGCTTTCAATGATTATCGAATTACAGTCAGTCCGCGATATGAATTACAAGTTCAAAGATTTTTACAATCTCTCCATGTTAACAATCAAATTACAGGTCAGAAATCATTTTACGGAATAAAATGAACTTACTGAATGACTTTTTAGATTCTACAGTAGAGATACACTTTTCCGTATTATTATTGTCATTCTTTTTCTATGAGAAAAATAATAACATATGGAACATGTAACCAATGGTTTATCCATACGTAATTTTGTGTTAAATTATTATTAAAAATTACTAAAACTTGTTATTTTTGACGAAGAAATAGAAAATCTGTTATTACCTGTTAGTTACCTACCTCATCAAGCAATGACACATGATTTTTGATTATCAGGTCACAGATCGAACCCCACTCCGTCTATTTTCGTTTGGGTAACCGGGAAGTATTATTAGTCATCATACAAGCAGTATGGCTAAAGCCAAGTATATAAACTTGCACTGTAAATAAACTGAAAAGCTAATTTCAAAGAAGTTTTTGTAAAACATATGTAAGCTTTTACTCCCTCCATTGTTGGTATAAAGGATAGTAACTGACTAATCACTATTGGTATATGCTAATCTTAAGCTTATCACCTTGTAGTAAAGCCTTTTGTCATATATTGATTTTTAGTAGTGCCAACTGACCTGACTCCAAATTGATCGTGTGATGATTGCTGTTGAAATATACATCCCGGCTAACATCATATATATAATTATCTACTTAAATCGAGTTAGCGAATAACAGAATCGAATTAGTCAAATACGAGAACGGATTTTGAACACGCATATTCCATACAATCGTTGATCAAGACGAACGATCGGAAAAACGAAGTGCGGAAGGAGAGGAGAAAGCGAAGCGAAACGGATCAGAAAAGGCATGTGAGACAACTCAATTTAATCAAGTGTTATTCAATATTTAAAGCCAGAACAAAAATAAGTCACAAACATGTGATGAGTAAAATAAGCAGTCCACACGCATATGCTCACATAAACACTCGAGGGTAATAAGAGAATAATCAACAAGGTCAAAATGTGACTCAAGAAGAATGAATAAATTGGTCCTTCCAGAAACTAGAACAACGTATGTGGGCTTGACATAGTACCAGCCAATACAGATTCGAGCATCAGTGTGAACATCCCCACTGAAATGTAGTTAAGAATACCGAATAAGAAGCAACGTCTATCCTGGATTCGACCACGGGTTGGAGTCTAATTATTGTAATTTATGACATATTCTCGATTTCGAGTTGAACGGTTTCTAGTGAGATTGGAGCACGGATTGTATTGATGAAAAACTGAAACTCCTGAGTATAGCTATTACCTTGACGCGGTGATCAGCGTGGCCTGTCGCGATTATCCAACCAGGTTTTAATGGCCAGAACACTTACTTCTTCAAATCCTACCATGCCAGGTAGGCTAGCCAGACAAAAGGAAGAACAAAGCAGGGACTTAGGACCATAGAGCGAAGTCTTACTGCTAGCTATGCTATGGTTTGATGGTGATAACGTTTTTTCCAAAAAAACAAATAATATATGCGGCGATGAAGCGTTCTCATAATGGGAGGGAGGTGTCAAAGGTCACTCCTAAGCATAGTACACCTTAATTTGCTCCAAGGATTTCTGTTGTCGGCGGGGAGACCTTAAGTGTACAGACTTAACTAATTAAGAACTACTCCTAGAAAGGCCTGCCTGAAGCAGCTATCTCTTGGGCTCTGCAGACATACTCTTAACTCGCCAAGACCACTATTATTCCAGTTTCCATTTCAAGTATCAAGAACTGAATAACTGACCGATATTGAAACTAATATTTCTTATAATTAGATAAAATATCGGTTTCAGATGTTAGGTCCCTCTGTTGGCTAAATCCCCATAATTGTCGGTATTAAAATCTCATAACACTTAAAAGTTTTTATGCCTATATCGATTTATCCGCATTTAAGCAATGTATTTGTGAGGCTGTACACAATGGTATTTTAACGTTGTAAAGTAAAGAAATAATTCTGCACAAAGAACTTACTTTCGAATCATGAGACAAATGTTCCTCTGACGAGAAATGTGAATAACTTTTCAGAACTTTTCGATTTATATGATATAACCTTGAGGAAGTAGACAAATGAGATTTGGGACGACCACGATGCTTTTGAAAAGACTGACTGACAAGTGGCTGTACAGTCGGTGGAATATTACGATTAGAATCATCATGGTGTTTTGGCGAAAAGCAAAATTTATGATCACTTTGTTCATTTTGACTGTGAGTATGCAATTTTGAAGATCTGTAGAATGGGTTCACGCGATTCATCTGATTCATTTGAGCTTCCACACTTGTTAAATCGCCAATTTCTTCTAAAGTCAATCCGCCAGGCATATCTTTACAAGCTTTCTGTAACGATGAAACGGTCATTTGTTTGCGACAAAATGCCAACAGCTGATAAAGTACAGGAAGGAGAGATGGTTAAAAAAAAAGCCTCAGTAGAATAAATATTTAACCAACGGAACTTGTGGACGTTTTTATGTTGAGACTATATGGGTGACGATTACTCAAAAACAAGAAATAATTGGATAACTTCACGGAATAGAATAAAACATAATGGTTAAGGGATGTGGCTACACCAGACGTCGATAAGTATGTTTTAAAACCCGACAGAGGGTAAATACTGAGTAGGTACACTCAGGGCTAGGTCTGAGTCTGTATGAATCTTTCCGATTTGCTGTTAAGCATCGGATTATCTTGGAAACCATATCAGTTAAACAGACTCGTCTGTAGTTATCCCGAGAAGGTTTTCGCCAACATTGTGAGGTAATGAAACCAGCAATCAAGAGCATTCAGATGGGATTGTGTTCATCTTTTAGAGTCTAGCTAATGTTCTGACTGACTTTACCGAAAATGTTAGATCATCACTCCTCAAAGATATCTGAACCTGTTGACCTCCGTCTTAAGTTAACTATAGTTTTTACTACTTTGCTAAGAGGTGAAGGTTTAGTGTAACATTTTCAATGAGACCAATTGTGGATAGTGAGAAACCAAAGAGTAGCTTACAACAAATCAAACTGATTCTTAGCATTCCGATCATTGTTTTAGTCATTTCTTTAAAGGGTGTATTATGATTTGGTCGTTCCTTGTGAACTGTGGTAACAATCGACTTCTAAACCTCATCATCGTTGATGAGTCTAAAGAGTTATCTTGTTATGTTTATAGTTACTTCAGAAAAGTAGCAGTGATCGACCGGTCATTAGAATGACGTGGATATAGATATCCTTATAGCTATTAGGGAGTATGAAAGGTGAACGGTAGTCCTATACCAATAAATCATCATACAAATAACATCGAATAGACAAGAAACATAATAACTGTTAGGCATATTCTGAACCGATGCAATTGCTTCAAGAAGCAATTATTTATGACATAAATGCGTTTAGAAATCTCCGATAGAAAATTTCTGTTCATAAAATTGTTTTCGAAATCACTTTAGTTTGGGAAATTTTCGAAAGTTGAATGCATAACTTTTAAAGCTAATACTGTCTGTTAAGTTGATAATATAAAACAATAAGAATAAGAATAAAACAATAGTCCCAACTATATAAGTTGGTGAAGATTTACAACTTCATCAATCAACTTGTCATCTTTACCTAGTATCATATTCCTAAAGAATTAAGCCTCAGAAATTAGTCATAAAAACCATCTCAACGTGAATACTTGCATCAAACAAAAATTGAAATCTCAATGAGTAATTAAGTAGCTTGGAAAGTTAAAGTAAAAGTAACAAATTTTTTTCAACGCTCACTTTACGTGCACGTTGGTAATAAATTGTATCCGGGGGATTATAAATCATTGCATTATTACACATTAATGTGACATCAGCAAGATATTCTGTAGCAGATCGATAATACGCCCGAGACTTAAGTCTGTTGTATATTGTCCCAAGATCCATGGGCTTGGAAATCACCTAGCATAGCAAATAGAATGTGATATTTATCAATATATAACTGAAAAGTGGGTTGGATAAATTAAAATTTCTTTGAAAGTATGAACAGAAATATTTGTGACGGTTAACACTTATCAAGTCGATATAGAATAGATGGTATGTGGCTAGCAATGGAATTCAGAACGCGCGATTCCACTTCTAGTCACATTCCATTTATTCTATATTAACATGTGTCATAATGACGACATAAAAACAATCTGTATGGAATGCTCATATGCCAACCAAAACTGCTCAAACTTCAGTAGAAAAGTATCAACAACGGGATAATCCAAACCTTTTAAAATTTAATTTAAAAATTCCTTCTTTAAGACAGACATCACATAGGTTACACATTAGGAACTTAATAACAGTATGAAGTACTTTGTGCTACTCGCCTAGCAATTTAATTCTTTGACATTGAATAACTGTCTAAACATGTGCACGCATAAATCAAGTCATGACAATGATGAGTATTCTATGGAGTTGAGTTTATTTTAAACTTCATTTAGAAGGTCAGGATGACTATTGAACTTGAATATAAATTGGAGACTTCATTTATTCTTTCATTGATGAATCAGTTCAAGCGCAGATGGATGGTTTTGCTCAGTATTATTAGTGCAACTCAGTTAAAATTGTGAAGTGAATATGCAAAACAATATTTTGCAGTTTCATCAGAAGAAAAGTTAGGTCTGAATACTGCAGTGTGGTTGAAAACTGGGACTAAATTATCAAATTAACAAACGCTACTTCCAGAAAAGGTTGATTATTATTCCCAGCATAACTGACATATTACTCGATAGCAAGTCAAAAGTCAGATAAAACGCAGATGTTGAGTGATTTTTGGAATTAAGAGGCGCTGTTTATAATGGATACCTGATCAAACAATAACAATGCGCAAGACCTATTTTTATCAACACTGCATTTAAGAAGTTTTAGAATGCAAAACATGGGGAAATTTTGTTGGTTATGCTTCAGATTTTTTGCTTTGAAAGTCAGTTACAAGAAGAGTGGAACGTGACACAAGTGCGCCAGTTCAAGTTGTTACACTACATTAACATAGTGAGATAATATTATCAAGAAAAATCCTAAAGCAGTAGAAGTGGTAAAAGTACCAGTAGTAGAGAAAAGAATTAAGTATCGAAAAAAACTGATAGTGGGAAAGACAAGGTAAAGGTAGTATGATTTGAGAGGAGAGAATGCATTAGCACAATAAAAACGTATAAGATAATCTTGTAACTAAAGATATAACAGAAGGTTACGACAAAGGTGAGGACCCCAACAAAGTAGTCTTAATCTACCAATACGGGTCAGTACATCAGTCAGTGACTTCATGGACTGATGCTACATCTTAATTTCAAGGTCCACAATTCTTTTTACAACCTACCACCACACCAGCGAACACTACGCGTAGCAGTAGAAGGTGGATGGTCGTATATAGTACATGTTTAAACCACCTTTATCAATACACATTCCAGACCTCAGCACCATATTTACTTAGTACCCCATGTCTAACCTCAGTACTGCATACACAAGCAATGCTAAGAAGACATCTACAATCAAAAGCTAGTAACTTGCAAATTATACTTCTAATACCTACTATACTGAAATGACCACATTTCACAGCCATAAGGTAGACCAGAACGAACTACTGAGTATATTCGTATTTTAGTTGGGAGATGGACATCTCGCCTGAGCCACATGTGATAAGTATTCAAAAAAGTAAGGCTTTGAGAATAATTGTTAGAACTGCATTTTACAGCCATACTTTTTACAACTGCGAATTTAATCACTGACATGCAAAACCATCTACAGTCAACAATATAAACGCGGTAAAACAGTAGATAGTGTAACATCTTTATCGAGTACTGGTTTATGAAACGCGCTTTGAAATACAATATTTATGTGATGGCCTTTGATACGACTCGACTCTTCATAATAAAGCAGACGAAAAGGATTTCGAATCTATGACTTACATTACTTTAACTAATACGAACGAGAGGAAATGGAGTTGGTCGACTTGCAGTTAGCCTAAAATAACTTACAAAGAAGACAATGATACTGTTTCATAGTAGTTCTAACTAGTTGCTACTGAGTTTAAGGAACCATCCATTTTTAGCCACTTAACTGTAATTTTAGACAGAATATTTGATGGGTTGAAACCTATACATAGAATGCGACAACTTTGCAGACTGAAACGTATTTTAGTATTGTTCCGAGTAGATAAAATTTAGGTCTTCAACATTTTAATTTGATCATATCGTTATCAGCATCAACTGTGACCGTGTAATTATATAGATATTAAAAACATCAAGAACATGGGGTAACAAGTAAGTTCTGTTGCAACTAAGGACGAAGTTACAGATCTGATATCCAAAATCGTAGAGGAAAAAAACGTTAAGTGACAAACCTCTGAATATCCAATAGCAATATCGTCAGTTACAGGGTTGGCAAAGATACCACGTGGATCTCTGCGGACCAGATTTTGGTGAATTTCGATTAGCACGGTATATAGGTTTCTACTTGTAACTTCAGTTAGAACATCGGCCTCTGTGATAAAAGAAATCATAAGACTTATCAATCAATAAAAACGAAGTGATAACGATGACTCATAGTAAACTTGGTGGAAAATCATTAAACACGGGACATATGGTAAGTTTATCTTTTGCTAAGAGAAGTGACGCAAACACTACGTTATGAAAATGCCAGTTGCTATATCACTAAGTGTGACTAGCTCATTCACATTAGACCATTATATCTGGGAGTAAGGGTATCATATAATCATCCAAGATGTGGTTAACGTAAATCACTACAAGAACTTTTCCTGACATCAGCCCACTAGTCCATTTATCGGAACAATAACCGGTAAACGAGATAAGATCAAAAAATTGCCTATGCCTACGCATATTGGTTAGTATCCTGAGTAGAAATAACGTTCCAGTATCAGGACCTATATATACTATAAGTTTGTTAAAATACATACCACTTGAGCCCTCAAATACTGGGAAAAACCACACAATTCGTGGAAACTCCATCAAAAGAAAATTAAAAATCTTGGGGAAAGTAGGATAGAAACTCAGAACTCAGAATTTTAAAATAGAGTATCCATGAAATTACAGATCAGTCGAACTGAAAAATCCGTTGAGATTGAATTGAAAAGATCAAGCCTTGTAGATAAAAACACTTAATTTCTAAGCAACATTTTTGTCAGTTTTAACAGATAAAAACTCAGTTATAATATAATCAGTCGAAAAGATAAATGCAAACCCATGTAGGAAAATAGGCTAAAAAAACTGTACCAGAACACTCTTGCGAACATTTCCCTCCAGAGAATGATATCTTTAGCTTTAAGGCATTATCTGAATCAGCAACGCAATGTAGACCACCGGAGTTCATTTCATTTAGCATAACTGTAACACCATATGCATTTTGCGCGCTGTTACTTAGATTACAGCACCCAGAATTTCTACTATGTCAGTTCCCATTATTGAGGAGAGGACTGCAGTTTAGTTTGGTTTTAAAATGACGGGACGCTGTGCGTTAATCTTGGAAGTTGGGTTCCTCAGTTTACCCAGCTTAAGTTTGAATGCATTAACGAGGTTTGGTAGTAAAGCAACCTAACTTTGCTTAGGTGGTATTTAATGATACATGCCTCTGCGTAATATGAGGAAGGATCTCCTACTTTTGAAGATTATATTGTGTGACCTAACTAACTAACTAACTGTGTATTCCACACACACACCCGACTGTAGCCCTTCTCGAGTTACTGACAGTCTCAAACCCAGAAACATGAGGAGGAATGGGTATGAGACGACAAGGTTACCGAAAAAGCTAACACGAAGAGTAACATTCAAGGCATCTAAACTTTTCAATGGGAGTTGGAGGGTCTTCGATTATAAGAATTATGACCCCTCTGTGGGGGCAGTGAGATGTCACAGAGCCCTAGCCAAAGCATCCGGCGGTTAGGTCACTGAATATCGAACAGATCATCGGTCTCTGTCAAGGTAAGGGAGAACCAACGCGCATCAGTTGATCGCATACCACGGAATTTCCGATGCGTTGTTGGTCCCACTATCTTCTCTGTACTTATTCTTACTAATAGATTTCCGTAATAACGTCCTTTGTGTTGTACGTTTTCCAAGCATCCATAGAACCCTGACACGACGAAGAGGTAATCCACGTTAGGTTCTGACCGTGAGGTGTGATTTCGAATTTAGCTGTTAGTCACACCATTCCCATCTAACTCGAGTATGCCCCCAATCATTCGACATGGGTCATCAAGGTTGATGACCTACACCTCATGGAGTCCAGATAACTTGGAAGCTGTGAGACAGAAGTCCTTTCTAATAACCAAAGCAACAAGTAATATAGGTATGCAGAAAGTCTTCACAATATAGAAAACTGCGAGTACCGGTCAAATATCTTCGGAAATGCGAAGACACAACTTGGCGGTGCTAGGAATACACAAAAAAATTCAATGAACCCAGGCTGGACAGAACAGACCAGATTCGAGAGTAGTTTCATTGTATTCCGGTCACAAAGATGCCTCACATATAAGAAGTTTCACTTATGCTGACCAAAGAGGCGTGTAAAGCAATTACAGGATGGGAATCTCATGGATCCAGAATTATCAAGGCATAATTCAAAACAAAAAGGGGACCGCAGAAACTAACCGGATCACACTACACAGAACCAGATCGATCATATTTGTATCGCCGAAAAAATCAGTACGTTAATGTTAGACGTGAGACCAAGGAGGGAGCTTGGTAAATCATGGTCTAGTTTGTTATAAATACTGCTATTATACAAGATCTAGTCCTGAAACTGCAGACATCATACGGAATTCATAAGACGGACTACAATGCAAAGTTGTCCACGGTGGACAGCTGACAGATGTAATCCGGGTAAGGACAGGGGACAGACAAGGCTGTCTACTCTCTCCCTTCCTCTTTCTTCTCGTGGTCCACTGGATTATCAAGGCCTCGCCTCTGCATCCGTAGGCCTCAACATACACATAAGAGAAAGCAAGATCCCCAAATACAACACAGAGAACACCAACTCAATCGCATTTCATGGAGAAACTCTAGAAGATATGGAATCTACCTGGGAAGCATCATCGATGAACAGGGAGGATCGGATGCAGACGTCAAGGCGAGGATTGTCAAAGAAAGGGCCGCATTCCTACAGTTGAAGAATATATGGAACTCAAAACAGCTGTCTGTCAGTCAATATCAAATTCACAATCCTTGATACGAACGTCAAGATAGTCAATTCTACTGTAGGTAGCTAAAACGTGGAGAACTACTACAAGCATCACCAAGGAGGTACAAGTATTTATAAATAGTTGTCTACACAAGATACTCAACATCCATTGACCGGATATCATCAGTAAGAGCCTACTGTGGGAGAGGACAAACTAACTTCCATCTGAAGAGCAAATTAGGGAAAGACGATGGTAGTGAATAGAATTTACATTGCGGAAGTCACCAAACTGCATCGCGAGGCAGTCAACAATGCGAAACGAAATGAAACAGACCAAAGAACGCCTAGGGCTGTGGACCGGAAGTATACACCAAAATAATGAATAGCACTTAGGGAAACCTGTATGTAGCGCCTAGGATAGAGCTGGTCGGAGAATCATAGTTTACAGCGTATGCTCCATGAGGGTTAACAGACGTAAGTATCACTTGTACGAAATTCTCATCAAAACTGTTCGAAATCGGAAACTAAAAAATGAATAAAAAAATATTCGGATTAATTTTCCAACTATGAATTGCCGAAGCGATGCAATTTAAAGCAGGTAAAACTAAATGAACGTATTAAATTTGACACTCATCACCAGCGAGTCATAAAGTAAAATCATTTATTAGTTCGTACAAATATTACAATCACCACATATTAAATGGTTATCCAGATCCTCGTAACCTGTTGCGCGTCTTCTCCTTAGCTCAGTCACGTGTCTTTAGGTGTGCAAGTCTCTGTAAGATCCGGAATGTACCCATTAGTATTAGAATTAATAGCGGAAGTTGGAACGGACTCACCGGAATCCTAATAAAGTATTCAGTCGTTGTGACTGGCTCGCATTTGCATTCGACACTCATTGACTTGTTTTAGGAGACCTTTCCTACATTGTGGGAAGGGAGTTCTTGTACGAAGATTATTTTGTTTAGGCAATTACCAACATCGTTTCTTTAGCGTACGGTCTAGCGATTCTGCATGGAAGTCTTTGTCTCCTCTCCTCTCCGGGTCTTTAAACTTTGCAGCAATGATAGAACTGACGTTTATTTTCAAAGTCTTGAAATTTCTTGCTTGTGCATGAAAATCAGTGAGCTTTGGAATCGTGTGTAATTCTCCACGCTTCGGCTACGTAGTTAGCAAGTTATAAAGTACTAAAAGTGAAGGATAGAAAAGCGAAGGGACTATTTCATAGAAAATCACGGTGGCTTTGTAGCATATTAAAATTATAGATTGATTTTGATGGAGTTTTGTTCTCTGAGCTGGATGGTTTGGTCGTGGAGCTTTCATCGTTCTTCTGAACGACATCATCAGCACAAACTTCAGATAGAAGTGAAGTGTTCGATTTTCTCCTATGTGTCTCAAAGCTTGTTCTGTGCACCTCGACGTTGATTGGTTCTTATTGACCTTAAATTTGTCGTTGTTTACTTCTTTGTTTTGGTTGTGTCTCCCATTGTTTTGATTTTTGTTCTTATGTTTGTGCATGATTTTTCTGATTGGTTGATAAATTGGATTGATTTCAATATGCTTGTTGATTGCTGATTGACCTGAGTGCCAGGCTTCTAAAAATTCTCTGGTGTTTTTGGAGTTTCCTCTGTCTAAGATTTCCACATTTTTCCAATCGAATGAGTGTCCATAGTTGTCCACGTGTATTGAAATAAGTGAAGAGATATCATGGCGTTTGACTGCTAATTGATGTTCATGTAGGCGTAGGTGAAGGGGGCGTCCGCTTTGTCCGATGTAGTGTTTTTCGCAGTTGGTACAATTTATTTTGTAGATGATGTTTGATTTGTTCTCCTTTGTTATTTCATCTTTTGGTTTGCATAAGATTGATTGTAGTGATTTTGTTGGTTTGTGTGCCACACCTATCCCGAAGGTTTTCAGCAGTCTCGTTGCAGTTTCTGATATTCCTTGTATGTACGGTAGGGTGATCCTTTTACTGATTTTTGTGCTTGACTTGGGTTGTGATGCTGTGTGCCGTTGGTGCTTTTTGATGAAGTTGATTGGGTAGCCGTTCTTTTGAAATATGTCCTTCAGGTATTTCTCTTCATTTCTTCGTGCTGCCAGTGTGCTGCAGTGTGTCCTCGCCCTCTTGAACAATGTGTGTACGCAGTTGATTTTGTGAGCTCTTGGGTTGTTGCTGTTGTAGTTGAGAATTTGATCTGTATGGGTTGGTTTCCTATATACTTGAGTTTCCAGTTTTCCTGTATCAGTTCTAGTGATCAATATATCCAAAAATGCTAGTTGGTTGTTTGACGCCAAAAGGCAGGCTTCCACTCGAGAACAACTATATTTTCTCCATGAGTGTCTTCGCCAGCATGTTCTACCAGCAAGTGTAAGACATAGACCTCCAATCAACCGCCCATTAGGATGGAAAATAGCTGAGCAAAGTGGAAGAAAAATGGTACACCTAATGATAACGGATGCACACTACAGGATCCGCAAATACCAGCACGGCATAGAAGACCAAAAGATAAAGCTACAAAGGATGCTCACATCAGAACATTTAGACATCGTGACAACAGCCATCGAGATATCATGCAAACGACATAGAGAACAAAGAAGAAACACCTTAAAGAAAAAACTAATCAAGATCTCCAAACCACCCATGGAAGAAAGCACAAACAACTGCGTGATCAATCTGTCAAAACAACCACTAACAAATACGGAAGAACACCTGCTCCAAAAAGGATTAAACTACAATACAAGCGACGCCTCAAAGCTGGAGTTCTTCGCAGCACTAGAGTCATCACTCAAAACTTCGGGAATCAGTGAAGAAACACAACAGGAAATAAGGCAAACTATAGTACCGATAACTCAACAGGTGAAAGAAAACAACCAACTGACTCCACAAAAACAAAAGGCCTTGAAAGAACTCAGAAATAGAAAGGATATTGTCATAATACCAGCGGACAAAGGACGCACCACAGTGATCATGGACAAAGAAGAATACGTCAACAAAGCCGAAGAACTACTCAAAGATAAGAGCACATACAAACTGATGGACACAAATCCCGTCAAAAAATTAGACAACCAAATCTCAAAGACTTTAAACAAGCTAGTCAAAGCAGGAGAAATAACAAAACAAGACCAATGGAGAATGAAATCCAGTGGACCAGTACTCCCTCGATTCTACGGCAGGCCCAAAATACACAAACCGAACATTCCACTACGTCCAATAGTAGCACTCCCTGGAACGCCAACGTACAATT